ACCTTAAATATCAGTCAGTAGAGATCTCTTGTAGTGGGATCGTTGCTAATTCAAAACTCGTCTGCAGAGTGATAACACATATCACTTTCTGAATGGCAAGATAATGTTTGAAAGTCACAGTATCTGGTTGTGAGAAGAAATTTCTGTTTTCTTTAAAGAAAAAGTTGCAGACTTTGAAATGACCAAAATGGTTTTCATAATAATATAATGTGTGTTCATCCTTTTGAAATTTCATATGAAAAACCTGAACATCCTTTTTTACTTAAACTGTTTAGTCTGGTGTGCAGATAAAGAGCTAAAAACAAAACTCAAGGAAATTCTGTTTCCAGAGTGAATATTTTCCAAAAATGAGAGAATTCTGAGCTATCTTTTTATGTTTAACCCCTTTGGCATGTCATATTGCTGAACTGAAAACCTTCTGCAGAAGGTATATGCATCAGTCCCAAATGTCACTAGCAGCCGGGTGATACACTGGTGCATCGCCACGTGCATTGATCTTCCAGTCAGGTGTGTCATATATGCACTTTCAAACATAACATTATTTTAGAACTTTTTAAAAATCACTAGATGGCACTTCATGTCCACTACAGTTAGCTTATTTGAACATATGCATTGTTGACCTTGTGTTCATGAAGTACTTTCTGATTCTGGTGATTCATTTAGATGTAAGAGCAGATGCTAAAAAGTAAACAAGACCCAGCTGACGCACATTTGAGGCTTCACATGATCAAGCATGAAAAAGGCGAAATTCCGCTTTTTTGAACGTCACCCAGGCTGTTTCTGAGATCAATGCAGAACCGTTGAGAAATCGCAGCTGGCAAATGGGTGTGTGTGTGTGTGTAAAAGGAGGACGTGCTCTCACTCTTCTTCTTTTTTTTGTAAAAAAAACTTTGCAAAATGCGTTGTTTCACATCAAGGTGAAGTAGGTGGGGCTTATGTGGAAAGGCGGAACTAGATGCGTACGAATATCGAATCAAAGAAGAGCAAGCAACTTTCAAACGAGAGCTGACTTCAGTAATTTCAGTGATTGGTGCTGGCACCATCTGTTGGACATACAGATATCCTACTGATGTTATCCAGAGCACGTGCGAGGATTAGCGTGTATAAAGTGGCATACTGTAATTCTGAGCATAGATTGTTATGTTATTTCTTTTTGGTTTGTGGCTGTAAGTTTTCCAGTATGAATATCTTAAATCCGAATCATGAGCACAGAGCTTGGTGTATAGATAGTGAAGAAAAAAATAAGTTCAGATTTGCGAATCTTAAAAAAAAGCAACTAAACATTGCAGAAAATGAAGAAAATAAAGAAGAAATAAAAAAAAAAGTATCAATAGATTTATAAAAGCTGCTGAAAAGAAATTGAGACTAGCTCGCAAATGGAAATTAAAAAAGTTGGCTGCAAAAGTAGCAAAAAAGAAAAAGCTTTTTCCCTAAAAATTTTTAATCAGGATCGAGTGAGACTGAGACAAAATAGCTATTTTTTATATTCCTCCTTTAACTATATGTTATTTTGTAACTATATTATCTCATATGACTACTTTTTCTGGTGTTATACAAAGTACTGTTTATTGAATAAAAGTGAAGATAATTGAGAGCTATAGTAACAGTTATATACATATATATATTATCTCTAAAACTTGTTATTGCCTGAAAATGGGCAGTAATATATAACATAAATATGTATATTAGTGTGTTGTAATGTGTGTACAGTATTCATGTATCAACTGTTAAATTAAGTTACATAAATAGCATCTTAAAGAAGGTTAATTCATTACAATCTCTTGGTGATTTATTATTTTTTTTAACAAGAAAAAATTAATAACTACAAGTATTATTTTAGTTTAATTATACACTCACGTTTGTGAAAATTGCAACACCAAGAAGGAATCGTCATAATTGAATGCAATTTAATACACAGTTGAGTGGTAGTGGTACAAATAAATGATTAAATGTTCAAAGCAAACAAACAAGAACAAGAGATCAGAATCAGTATTTTGTGTGGCCACCACGCGCCGCAATAAGTGCTGCTACACGACGTGGCATGGAGTCAAACAAAGTTTGAATGTCTGACTGAGGAAGAGCATTCCATATCGTTTGTACGCGTACCCAAAGTTCGTCTGCAGACGCAACAGGACGAGGATCACGAGCAAGACGCCGACCAATGACATCCCACACATGTTCAATTGGCGACATATCCGGGGAACACGCAGGCCAAGGAAGAAGCTGTACCTGCTGCGCTGCAAAGAAGGATTTAACAATCCGAGCAGTATGAGGGCGGGCATTGTCCTGTTGAAATACAGCGCCTGGCAAGCTTTGAAGGAAGGGAACAGCTTCGGGCTGTAGAACTTCACGGATATACCGGTTGCTGTTCAGATTGCCCACAATTCGTAGCAATTGAGATCGTCTATGATATGCTATGGCGCCCCAGACCATAACTCCGGGTGTTCGTCCACTGTGGCGTTCGATAATGCACTCCGGAAGGTGGCGTTCACCGGCATAGCGTCTGACACGAATGCGGCCATCATGGTACCACAAATTAAAGCGGGATTCGTCAGAAAACACGACATGCTGCCAATCAGCACGCCAGTCTCTATGCTGATTGGCCCATTGTAGCCGCAGGCGGCGATGGTCGTGCGTTAGGGGGATCCTGTATAAAGGAGTCCGTGCGCGCAGTCCACACTGCAGCAGACGTCTACGAATTGATGAAGCACACAATGAAACACCTGTAGCTATTGACCACAGTGCTGCCAATTGTCTAGAGGAAGCTGTACGGTCCGTCCGCGCCATGCGGACCAGGTGTCTATCATCGCGAGCTGACGTCACATTTCGGGGTCCACTCCCGGATTTCCGAGTTGTCCGACACTCGTCCGTCCACTGCTTCCAAACGCGCATCACTGTGCTGCTGTTACGCTGCACACGAGAGGCTACTGCACGATACGACAATCCAGCTTCACGAAGGCCGATGATTCTCCCTCGTTCAAACTCTGTAAGTTGTTCAAATCTCGCTCTCTTTCGTCGACGAGGCATAAGTACAGATTGAGTTAACGTTTACCACTAGCAGATAACCACCGATAACCATACACGCCTCGCTACAGCCGTCTATTTATTCGGATCCATCAGCCGTTCAGAGGGCGCTGCTCAGCATACGCATGCGCTACGGATTTGCAATTCTAATCATTTGCATATCATGCGCTACTTTGCATTTCCTGAAAATTTCAGCTCACTCGCGTAAGTCCTTCATGGTGTTGCAATTTTCACAAACGTGAGTGTATTAATTTTTTTCAAAATGTTTTTTAAATTTCTTAAATTTAAATATGTTATCATCAAATTAAATAGTTTTTGATTTTTTTTTTTTTTTTTTTTGTCAGTGAATATGGAGGGATCTTTTTGAGACCAGTTGTATCTTCTTTAGATAGCAGACATAAGTATTTTGTGCCACTTAAGAGAGTTAAACTAATAATGCAATGTCTAAGAGGAGTTTTTAACAGAAGAAGAGTATATTCAAATTGTAAAGCCCATGAGTGTCGATTCGAGCCCAGGAATGACTATTTTGACATCGAAGTTCCAGATTTAAGTGAGAATAGTGATTTTGATACCAAAATTTTGTCAGAGACTGAATTGGAATCTTGTTTTGCTTTCACCTCACAATCCAGCAGAACAGTGGCTACTCCATCATGAACTTGATCTGTTAAGTAATTAAAGCATTATGAATTTACAGGATTTGCGGAAGTAAACGTAATTCAAAGTTATGTGAATGAAATTTATGTTTTCACCATTTTTCGATAATCTAATGAACATAGTTGAAGAAACTAATAATATCTGTGAGCGAAAGATGAGTGAAACTCCATCCAAAATCAACATGCTCCTGTAGATGTGCCTAAAATGAGGAGATTCCTAGGATTAATTATTCTGCTGGGAATAACTAAAAAATCTGAACTGAAAATATGCTTCATAACTAATGAAATTATAGCGACTAGATTATTGTGCGCTGTCTCAATTCTGAATCATTTATGCTATAATATTTAATCATATATTTTATTATTTTTTACGTATGATTAGATAAAGATTAATTAAGTTTTTTACAGTTCATCAAGATGAGTCAAATATTTTATTTTGCATTTAGATTTTAAATTAATTTTTTTTCAGAATGTATTGATATTCTGTATATATGATTATATTACTGTTAGATACCATTACAGAAAAAATCAAAACATTTGATATAAAAATGTTAATGTTTATTTTTAAAGTTAGGTTTAGCGATGCGAAAGAACCTGTCATGCGAGATTGTACTGCAACAACACACCATCTCCAAGGTGAGTTGTGCTAAGTAACATGCCATGACGTAAGAGGATTAAGTACTGTTGCATATATGATACACCTATCGTTAAGGGGTTAATTGGAAATGCTTGCATTTGTGGATTAAAAAAACTAGTATTGACAAATTTAAACAGCTATGTCTACAGAAATCATCAATAGATAGATTTTTAAAGTTTATCATCTGTGCAATTTTATGTGTGAACATAGTAAGTATAAAATTAGTTATGCCCATACTGATATGAAAATATTGCAGCCACAAGTTCCCACATCAGTTTTAAAAATAAGTAATAAATTTTCACAGGTATTGTGTTTTGTTAGTGTGTAAATTTTTTAAGATATTCTTTTGTTTTTGATCGAGGTATTTTTTAAACAATATTTTTACTTTTATAACTAGTAAAAAATAAATGAAAGCTATTGAAAAATGTGCATTTTGCTTGTGTCTTCTGAATAAAAAATTAAATTATATGTGTTCCATTGGATATAAAATGATTTAACAGGTTAACAAGTTAAGAATTTGAATGAATCAATACAAAGTTTTCGGCTTGACCTCAGGGTGAAGCAGATTTTCACTAAGTAATATGAAATCTCTAGATTTAAATATTTGTAGATAGTTCTGAATTTTTGTACATGTTCATCTGTTTCTGTGTCATTTTTCATACATTGCTGTTAATTTTGTGTTCTAGGATCCAGATGCATTAAATGAGCAAAAAGTTAGCAAATTTATGCGAGAATATCTACAAGATCCTAGCCGAGATGTTCAAGAGCCATTCTTCACTGTACCTGAGGTTCACCATTAAAATTATTTTTTATCATTAACATTTTATGTTAAAATGAACGAATAAGAGTATTGTATCTTATTTCTATTATGTGTGTGCATTGGGTAGTTTGCGACAGAAAAGCAAACTTAATAGGATAGTGGCAGGGTAAGTCACCAAATCTCTCATCCTAGGATTTATACTAACACTATTTTCGAATATAAGCCAATCCATATATAAGCTGAGAGAATTTTTTCAAATATTTACTCCAAAATCAAAACCCGGATATAAGTTAAAATGGGGGGGGGGAAACTGCAATTTTCGAATATGTTGCCATCAGAGCAAAATCATTGCTAAGCTGGTAAAATGGGTGGAATATTTTTCTATCAAATTGCTGTAAAAACAATAGACGCCAACAACAGTAGTTTTAATATGGGTAACCCTGTCTGGAGCTAGCACTTTTTTTCCATTCATTTGTTCTCTTGTATACGATCTGTGGTATTTGTGCTGATCTTATTTTCTATGCCAAATTATTTTTTGCCTTTAAGATAAGGAGGATAAATTCTTATATGGCACATTTCAAAGTATAGGTGATTTTGTTTGCTGGAACAGTCTGGCTTTTTGGTATTTTCCCATAAATGAGAAATAAGTTCCAGATAAGAGAAAATCGGGTGCAAATGTCGCCAACCTCAGGATTTTTATTTTGCCGACAATGCAACAAATCAGCATTATAAACAACTCATTTCATTTAAACAAGTAATTTTATTTACGAACTTAAGAAATGTAAACTGAAGAAATAAAGAAAGGCAATATTAGAAATTGCAGCTAGCTAACACAAAAGTACCTGAATTTTTTGCAAGGTAGTTGATCCATGTGTAAGCCAACATCCATAATTTAGATTTAGAAATTTCATGACCTAAAATTTATACCAATAGTGCTGTAACCAAGAATCTACACTAACACTACAAACTTTTGTGAAGCTGAAGGTGTTTAACCCCTTGGGTACGGATTTATTTGAGAAAATATTTGCATGTGGAACGGATATAATTTTTGGATGCGATTCATCAATAGCTACTTCATTATCAGGAGTATAAAAGTAACAAAATTTGTTATTTATGTAATCCACTATATTTCTAATCTTTCTTATTCTGTCATCTTTATTTTCCTTTTCATTATCCGTAAAATGTAGAAAGCTTGAAATATCAAAAAACCTATCGCATGGCATGGTAAAAATTGGAGTACTTATTGTATACATTTTTGACCAATACATATGCATTTTTGGCTTCTTCATTTGCAACATCAAGATGCATAATGCAATATAAGCTTTCATTTCATCAAAACTTACAGGAAACCACCTTTGGGTTTTTTTTATTACATAACCTTCTTTTTCTATCACATGTCTGGCATATCTATTCGTCTCTTCTACTGTAGTGTCCCAAAAATCTTCATTCAAGACTTCTTTCAAAACATCTAAAGGCGTAAGATTTACTACCTAGTCTACACAGGTTCAAAGGATTAATTCCAGATATTTCAGAAAAACTTTTTATATCAGCTAAATTTTCTTCATCCCAAATCCATTCCTCTGATACTGGTTCACGAGAAGATTCACTGTCACTGCTGGATAGACGTCTTGTGCATCTTCGAAACCTTGGTTTTATATTACAATTGTCATAATTTTCTGGTTCACAAGAAGATTCACTATCACTGCTCAATAGACGTCTTGTACATCTTGAAAACCTTGATATTATATTACAATTGTCATAATTTTCTAGTTCAATATCGTCTTCATCACCTTCGCTTTGTGTTTCATTGTAATTGTCAATTTCAGGATCACTAAGCAATTCTTCTTTAGATTTCTCAAATTCACTTTCGCTATCACTATCATAAAATATATTTTTTCTTTTTGACATAATGGGGTAGTGTATCGCAAATAATGTTCACTGAAATACTGTAATTGTCTCTTCTATTATGACTGATACAAGCTACAATGAAATTGCCTAACCTCAAATAATATTTTAGACACGTCATCCGCTCCTAGGGAAAACAAGTGAATGACGTCTCTCAGATGTCAAATGTACCCAAGAGTTTAATTTTTGGTTTGACATCTTAGACACATCATCAGCTCCTAGGGGGGGGGAAAGTGAATGACGTGTGTCAGATGTCAAATGTACCCAAGGGGTAAATTACATGTAGATTACTTTCATTTATATTGGCATTACAGATTTTTTTTTATGAAGCATTTTCTTTATGTGCTGTTTGCACATTGAGAGAATGCTACACAAGAGCACAATGCATTTTTCTTGTATTCATTCATAATATTCGTTCTCAAACTAAGGGTGTTCATCTATAAATATTTTTTTTATCATTCAACTGTAGGCAGTGGTGAAAAAAACTAGGAAGTGCTATACATGTGTTCTTTAGTCAAGTGCATGTGTCTTGGAATCTTTGAGTAATTCAAAGTTGTGGTTTGGATTTTCCAGTATATTTTCATTCAGTTGAAGATGGAACTAGTCACCACTCCAGTTGGCCTTAATTCGAGGTGTTAGCCATAAAGAGCTTAGATGCCAGCTCATTGGAAGATACTAAGGCTATGACAGTGCAACTAGTTTTGGTGATCTGACCTCGTACGGCTTGGAAATTAGTTAATGATGACCAGACACTTTGGTTTACAGAAGACTTGAGCACCCAAATCACTTTGAGCACTCAGGGAAAGACAGTTTTAACAGCAGTGTATGAATGAGGTTAAATTGCAGCAAATGCATAAGCTAATATTGGAGGGCATATTATCTAAACATATGGTCATTTTATAAATGATCAAATTAAAAATACACATATCAATTCAAAACTATTCACAAAGTTGAGTATGGGTAACAGCATTGAATATAGAGGGGGAGCATTCTGCTGTATGTCTGTGGTAGAAACCTTACATTGTGGACATGTTTAGGGCAAGCTGCCTGGAGCTTGACATGGCTGAATAGGCAGTGGCAGAATATATAATGACTGAAGCAATTTTATTTTGCACAGATCTCTTACTACTAGTGTTAGTGGCCCACACTGACCAATTTGTGGAAGCTGGTATTTTAAAGTGGTATCTTGATGCCTGTGGGCAGTCAAATTTATAGTAGTCTGCTGGTCCTTCCCTACCACATACATAAAGATTTATGTGACTGCACCGGAAGCAGCGCAGATATGTTGCCATGAATGGACTCAGAAAAGTATTTTGTCAGTGAAGAGGTGCTGCTGCAAAACTCTGTGGCTTCCTTTGGATTGAACATGAATGCCCCTAGACTGATGGTAGCTATGAGTTGTCTCTCAGGCCACTTTCTGAACATGTGCTCCTGAACACATGCTCAAAGTGAAGGCAGTACTAAAACTGTTTAAACAGGAAAAATAACAATTGCAATAAAAATTAGAAAACATAGGAATAATTCAAATTCATATAGTTGATGTTTACAAAATTTCAAAAAATGCATTAAAATTGGGAAAGAAATCAAGAAAATTTGCATTGTGAAAGAATTACTAAATCTGTGCAGATAGTGAATATTTTTTTTATACATTATACAGTACAAAATCCGAGATCCGGACTCATCAGGACTTCAGTGATTCCAGATTTGGGATTTTTTCCAGATATTTAATCATCAGTTTGAATCTACTAAGATGGCATGCAGAAATTGTACAATTAAAAATATGAAATCATAATTTATGAAATAAAGAACATTTATGATCTAAAGAGTATCAAAATTTAGAAAAAAAAAAAAAAAAGCTTAATATTTATATGTTTACTTTGTTAAACATTTCTTGCAATGTCAGTTGTTTAAGTTGCTCCCTTTTTTGTGCTAATACTTTAATTCTATAAATTCACATAATTTCTTGTTCAGGTACAAAGTTCCACTGTTTAAGTCCCCTAATTGCTGTGTTGAGAATTCCGACTAACTTGTCAATCGAAATTGTTTCGTTGTCAATAACATCTCCATCACTTTCTTCACTATCAGTAGCGGTATTTTCTGGATCTAGAACCAGACTACAGATTTCGCCATCAGTTAATTGATTGATGATTAGGGCATTGTCATCACAATGAAAATCTTCTGTTATATCATCTTCATTTATTGCCACTTCTCCACATTTCTTTACAAAATCCATTAACTGGAAAATGTCGCCTTTAGCTTGCAATATCCAAAAACCTTCAAATTCACAGCTATCATCTTCATCATCCTTACCACGAAACATGGCAGCTGACTATAAATTATGCCAAGCATTTTTTAAAGTATCTGAAGACACATCCTCCCACGATCTTGCGATGCTCCACTGAGAAGATTTTATTCTAAAATATTGAAAAGTTTTGCCATTGTTCAAGAAATTAAATGGATTTTAAAAATGCTACTTTATATTTGCGTTTCAACACATGCACTATTCTGATATCCAAAGGCTGAATGACAGAGGGACACTTTGGAGGAAAGAATAAAATGGATACATTTTCTTTCACTAAAACTTTAAGTGAAGTATGAGCTGAACAGTTGTCTACAATCAGGACTATTGTTGACACATCAGGTAAACCAATCGAATTCAAATGCTGCTGAGCCTCGGGTATAAAATGATTTTCAAACCAATCATTCATGAATGCTTATGTCATCCATGCTGTTTTATTTGCAGGATATAAAAGGGGGGAAATTATTACTTCTTTAATTGCTCGAGGTCGTGTATGTTTTCCAATTATGAAAAGTTTGCACTTGTGCTTTCCTGCAGCATTTGCACATGCTAAAATTGGTAGTCTCACTTTGGAATTTTTGACACCAGTTGGAGCCTTTCCTGTAGAGATTGTTAAGTTATTTCGTGGTACATAGTGCCAGAAAAGACTAGTTTCATCAGCGGTGTAAATTTGTTCCAGAGATAATTATTCACAAGTAATGATTTCATTTAATTCATCTGCAAATAGTTGAGCAGCTGCAGTATCAGCTGAAGCTTTTTCACCTGAAAATTTTAATTGCTTTAAACCATGGGGATTTTAAAATTTGGTTAACCAATCTGTCAAACATGGGTTCTCAGTTCTTAAGTATATTTCATGAAATATTTTGGCTTCAGCCATAGCGTTGAATCCGTCAGTGGCATGCCCTCGCTGCGACACTGTCTGAGCCATTCAATCGTCACTTTGTCATTATCATCACAACGAACAATTTTTCTGTTATTCATTGTGAGTGGGATGTCGAAATTCACATAAAAATAGAAAAAGTTCCTTTTTCTTATGTCATATACAGTTGACTTTCCAATGCCATACTCTTCACATAATTTTGAGACAGATATGCCTTTATCCATTTTTTTCAGCATTTCCAGTTTTTGTTCAATGAGCATCGAAACATACTTTTGCTTTGTAGATCCTTTGGCAGCTACAGAATAAGAAACTCTTTTCAACATAATCAAAAGTTCAAGCTTGAATTTTTTTAAAATTGCTGTAATAACAGTCTGCAAAAAATAATAAGTTGGATCAAGTTAGAAGACTAAGGAGCATCCCAGCCTGCTACATTAACTGAAATTCCTTAGAATCAGTAAAGATAATTTTAGCCTAGCTTAATAGAAAACTATACATACTAGAATACTATACATTATTGGCTGCGTATCATAAGATTGGCGATGAAAGGCGATTTGTCCCGCTAAATTTAGTCTTGCTTCTGTTGTGCACTGAATTAACCCTGAATTTTATTGGTTTAGTTATTTATTATACCTACATCTATTTCTTGCACATGCTTAAGACTAATTTGAGTCCTGAATAAATGAACTCCCATATATACGTACGGGTTATCTAGACGCATTTAAAAAAGTTTTTCCTAAAATTATTTTTATGATGAAAGGTATCATTATAAAAAGACTTAATTTATAATTTCAAATTCAGTATGAATGATTTTCAGTCCACAATAAATTTTATATTACAAAAATCACAGAAGCTATTTTCATTGTGTGAATTCCTTTTAAAATAAGTATTTTTTGAAAATCTCATTGAACTTTGCACATAATTGTATGGAACTTAACTGCTTTTGACTTGAATTGTGCATAATGGGAAGAGGGCATTTATCTAATTCGACATTTTGTTTTATGGGGTTGATATAGAAAGTTAATATTTATGATACAGTCTACTTCCAGTTCTGAAACTGTTAACACAAAATTAATTACTTTATTTGAAGACACTTTGTAATAGGCAATGCATGCTTAGGACTGATGTTTAAAGTAATAAATGTTGTAATCATCCTTTTTCAAATGTTTTCTGTTTGTAGGATAGTCCTGTTTTAAAAACGAAAATCTGGGGCACTTTTGAAAAATAAATTTCAATATTAAAAAAAGACTATGTCTTGTTATTGTTAATTAAATGGCCCTACATGGCAAACTAAATTTGGTGTGAAAAAATAAAAGCAGACTATAGATTTGATCAGGAATTTGTTTAGTATATTGTAAAACGAATAAAGTCTGTTTTGTAGAATGGGCAATTTGAAGAAATGTTCATAAAACTAGGCATTATAATCTAAAAAACTACGTAATTATATCTGTAAATACCTATATCACAGTGAAAACATTTCATGGCCTTGTCCACTTTCTGTGCATTTAATAATTCTTCTGTCAGTATAATGATTTAAATTGTTTATTAGTTTGTGTTATGTATTGATGTAATTCCTTAAATAAGATTTTCATTACAGATAGTGTTATTCTGAATAAAAATTTCTGATTTATTTTCTAATGCTTTTATTTTCCAGTTTTTAGATTTCCTATTTTCAAAGCAGAATGATGCATGGGACTCGAAACATAATGAGGTGTACCAAGATATGACACTACCATTAGTGAATTATTGGATTGCATCATCCCATAATACGTAAGAAACATTGTTATAAATTTTGTAATTTAAATGAATGCTGAAATTTTAGGTTAATGATGCTGAAACAACTGTTTTCCTTTTCTGTTCTGCAGACTAAAAGACAGGTTGAACAGGCATTTTATATACTATAGTTCTAGTGCTCAGTTTTGGAATAAGTTAGGTTCCTGTTGTTAATTGTGAGGGGTCCTTATTTTGTGGTTGTGAGATTTTGATAATTGTGAAGTTTTGATATTTGTGAGATGGCCTTATCACTAGCATTTTGACTTTGATATATGTCTGAACTCAAATATTTTGTCATGATCAATTATTATAATTTCAGTCTTTTTTTCTTTTCTTCTGGGTTAGTTATTGTATATATTTAAATTTTGATAAATGAAAAGGTGTTATAGCTTCTTTAATGAAGAATTTGGTAGAAAACAAGTTATAAAATTGTTTTCTTAGAGTTAATTTTCATTTCAATGAGTAGGCTTACCTGTGAGCAAGTGGCTAATCACTGAAGATAATGACAGAATATCTCTCCCAGTTCTGGAATAAATACCATAATTTTTATACTGAAATATTTGCTACATGTCAGGAAGTCCTGCTGAGCTAAAATCAAACACAGTAGATTGCTGAGGAATTCTGCAGACTTCCACAAGAAGTGTAATGGTGGACTGATATCTAAAAATTTCTTATCTTTTTCCTATAACTTGTTGCTGTTTCATGTGAAAGATTAAAAAGCAAAGTTTGATAATTCACCAGATTTGACAATATGTCACTGAATTTCTTTCGTTAGTTCTATCACAACTTTTAATAAGTTGTAAATAGTTATGAACATATAACTTCTTATGTTAAGCAGTAAAACATATACATGTATGTATAAATGTGTGGAAAAAAGGTCTGCTTGTATTATGCAAATACATTCAAATATTTATGCACATTTTTAACAACCATTTTCTTTGCTGCTTAGCTATCTTACTGGTGATCAAGTTAAATCAGAGTCATCTGTTGAAGCATATGCCCGGTGCCTTCAAATGGGGTGTCGATGTATTGAACGTATGTGTTTTTTTAGTTACTTTTTACATTTTCTTTGAGAATTTAAATTTAATGATAGAAACTATAGTGAAGTCTGATTTCTAACATAACTGATTTTCTCTACTGTAACATAATTTCTGTGGATTAGCTGCCTAGATGTGCTTATAGATTTTTTATGTGTAAATTAAAAAGAAATGAATTTTCTTTAGCATGTATGGCCTAAAGGCATTCCATTTCAACATGTTGCCTTCAATGCTTTGCTGTTATGATGTTAGACATCATAGTTATGTCTGTATGATGTTAGACGCCATATACTTGCATTTCAGTCTCTCACTATAAATATAGAATTAGAATTTCCTTATATTCCTGACAGATTTTAAAAATTTATATGAATGTAGAATTGCTGTACACTATGTGTTTCTAATGTTTTTACTTAACTGTGTAAGATCTTGATTGACCTCTATATGCACCAATAAAAATTCACAATAGGGTTGCTTTAATGCCAGTTTAATTTTTTATTGTAACCATACATAGAAAAACAGAAACATACCTCATAAAATGAAACACAATTTTCCCCCCTTTTTTAAAATGGAATATGTTACCAAATGGTTAACTTGGGCAATGAAAAATTCATGGTAATAAAATTTGTTTGCCAATATATAACATCGTGTGCTAACTTCTAAAGCATGGAATTCCACAAAGAGGAAGATTACAGTTTGAACAGATCCATTTAGTTTCTTTGTGAATCTTTTTACTTTTCATTCCTTTTTCTAGAGCAGAGAAAATACTGGTGGATTGGATTTTCTTCCTTTTCTGTTAGCATTATGATGGATGGACTATGTTGTGTGACTTATTTTAGTGGTGTTGCGATATCTGAAGTGTTTGCTCTTGCATTATATGTCAGTTTGTATTTTTCAGTGGCGAGCTTTATTACTTCGAGGCAAAAATCAAGTGAATTCATTCTACCATCAGATTTTTGGTAATGTACATAAGATTTCCACAGTCCCAGGTCTAAGAAATGGGGGAAAAAATTGCATTATTTCTTGCCTTTCTTTCTGGGTACTACTAAGAAAGATAAGTGTTGATCAGCAACGCCCCCCCCCACTATGGTTGTAATCTACCGTATTTGACGGCATATAAGACGCACCCTTATTTAGAAGGCCACACACATGTAGATGTAGAAAAAGTTATGTGTGTCTAAACCTTTAGCCAGGCTAAAAATAGCATTCAGTATTGAAAGTTAACCTGTGTCCTTCACGTATAAGACACAGGTAACTTTTTTGAGACCAAATTTAGGAAAAAAAGTGCGTCTTATATGCCGTCAAATATGGTATTTATTTTTAAGATAGATCATTCTTTTCTTTTTTATTCTTCCTCTTCATTACCCAGACTTTTCCGTTCTGAAAGATGAGGTTTGAATCCCGCAAATGGGCTGGCTGCATGGCTGTTTCCATGGTTTTCCCCATATGTAACATGAGCCAGTTTCCCTTAGAAAGTCTTCCACGAAGGCAGCCCTTCCCATAAGCAGATAGCCCTATAGTCTTTGCCGTAATCACATAAACCAAACTGAACCTCTCTGAAAGTCAGTTATTTCTCCAGTTTTCAATTTTTTGTTCTTCAACTTCTTGGGTACTATTTTGTATGATATGCTTAATGTTCCATAAACATCAGTCTTATTTTTTGTCGAAAGATCAGCCATTTCAGGTGAGTTATAAAAATTATTCATCATCAAACGATAATCTCTATTCCATAAAGGTTTCATTTGTATCTATTTGCAGTGACACTGGGAGATCCACAAAAAATCTCTGTTCAGAAAAGAATTCTTTTCAGCGTAGTTCATAAAATCAATGGACATATCTGCTTTTTGATACACGTAATAATTTTTTTAAATTCTAGATCTAGTCCTTTTGAGAGGAATGTCTTGAACCCTTGATAGATGATCTTTACAAAACAATAAACTTTCACATTCTCTGGTATAATAAAATTACCAAACTTGGTATAAAGAGACCAGATTTTGATTTGTTTTGGGCAAGGGTGATTTGCTGGATAAAAATTGTTATTTGAAAAATGTGTAAGACATTTTATAATCTGAAGTCATTTTACACTAATGCATTGCTGAAAAAATGATGAATACAATAATGGATTTTTCATCCAGTATTAATGGTATATAGGTGTTCTCACTATGCTGTGCAAAAATCCAATGGCCAAGAATATTCTTAATTTCATTTGGAATTGTGTCATACCAAGAAATGTTTGTATTACCACAAGTATATAGTGTCATGTATCTATTTGTTTGATACACAGTGCGTTGAATGAGTTGATCATCAAAATTCAGATAGTTAAAATTGGTAATATTTTATAGCTGGAGCTTGGGTGGATGAGCATCTTGTGGCAAAGTATATCAGTGTCTCGGGCCAAAGCAAGACTTCCCTAATTTCATCCTCAGAGAAAACATCAAGTTTCAAATCTCTGTAACTGTTTTTAAGGTTCATAATCTGAACCAAGTAATAGTCTTAATATTTTTCCATAATAGTGTTATATAAAGATAAATTGCAAAAATGTTGTATAATATAAACAAATGTACAGTCATGTAATAACTTTCCATCTGTGATTCAATGCAGCTTACTGGAATCAAAACAATGCCCTTTGTTTCAGCAACAGTAAAAAAGACACATTCTCAAACCAAATAACCGACACTTGCTGATGGCAAATTTTCTTGAATGAAATTAAGTGGTCTCTAAACTTTACCAAATACATTTGGTTGCATTTGTATGTAAAAAAATAAATTCTTGAACATATAAACTTAGATGAGCAGAAAAAGTTTAGTTTGGTGTACCCAAGTTAGCTAACTCATTTGAGTTCCGTAAGGAGTTAATTGCTGGATGTTTAACTGATACATGTTTTCACATTTCATATTCAGAAGAAAAACTTTCATTGATTATATTACATCATAACACTATATCGAACAGCATCTTTTATTTTGTTCTCTATACCTACTTGCTCTTGCACTAGTTTATGTAATTTCTCAGTGCCCTTCACATGGATTGGGCAGAAATTGCTTTGTGTTCTTTATTCTGATGGGTACCATTCCAGTCTCATCCATTCTGGCAATATAAACTCGGATATGCATGTTATCATTTGAAAACTTGTAATCTAGAATCAACATGAAGAGGCTTTAAAATTTATTAAAAAGAGAGAGAGAGAGAGATTGAATTAAAGAAGTCATCTTAGATGATTCAGAGAGCCATATTTAATATTGGATCACTATTGTCTTGTCCTCTGCCAAGATAGTGGTCTATCTATTGTTGTTGTTCAGAAGTTTTTTTCTAGTCTTGACTATTTTGCATATTCCATTTGAACATGTCTTTCACATTACACCTTTTTAAATGAAAATTAAATTGTTGATATTTCATCTTTTATTAAGTTTCTCAATCTTTTTTTAAAACAGGCTGCAGTTTGTCATCTAAGACTATGTCTAAAAGCAGGTATGCAAAGTTTTCTATGCACCTATCCATGAAATTGGGAGAAGGTTAGCAAAGTTCAAGAAAAATCTAAATTGAGAATTTGTTAAAATCCGTGATATGGTCTTAAAATTCATCAGTTTGAATCTTCATAAACAGTGTACTTGTCTACATCAGGCCTTTACCTAAATTTCTACATATGTGAAGGAAGCTTACATTTCCAACATGTGTGTCTTTTTTAAAATTAAATTTAAAAAAATTAGATTTGTTTTTGAGTCCTGGATTATGTTGAAATCCTTTGATGGCCGCATCATCATTAAAATTGTATTTGTTAGGCACTCTTCTTCATAAATTTTTTAATTCTTTTTATTGCTGTGCTACATTTTCAAAATTTGATGTTTTGCTTCTTTCCTTAGTGATTCTCTTGATTTTGAAAACTGTGTACAAATTTTACAAGTATCATGTTTCTGCAGAATCGAAGCTGTTAATATGTGTTAATTATTCATTGTTTTTATAAGTTTATTTTCAATATATTTGTTTGAATTAATGGTATGTTTATTCTGATATATTTTTGCCGTATAGTAGTTTGTTGAATGCCATTAATTTCTGTTTTGCAATATTTCTTTCATATTAGAAAGGATTGCAGCTTAGTTAATTTTAAATAGAATGGAAATTAAATGTTGTATTTTAGTGTGTTGCACTTTTTCTTCTTAAAAAGGTTTTTTTTTCAGCATTTATACTTAGCAATGTTACTCATGAATATATTTTAACTCCCCCAACATATTAGAAATATGTATTGCAATTTATGAATTATTTTTTCCCAAGTGTTTTAATAAATTTGCAATTATTTATATTTATAGTGGACGTTTGGGATGGTCCAGATCAAATGCCATATGTGTATCATGGGCATACTCTAACTAGCAAAATTAAATTCATTGATGTCATTCGAACCATAAAAGAACATGCTTTTGTAACTTCTGAGTAAGCTATTTTTTATGTATTTTGCTTTGCTTAAAATTGCAATTTTGATTTTCATCTATAGCTGTAGTTGTCCTTTTATTCTCTATTTGCTTAGTGCTTATATTCCTCTAACTAATTTATTACTTAACTACAGTCACAGCCCTTTATAATGAACCCAGTGCTGTAATGAATGAACTGTTTGGTCTCTTCCAGTTTTCTATACACTGAATGCTGTTGTATATGGTTATAGCAAACTTTCAGATGTATAAAAATCAACTGTAATGAACTTTATATGGGTGTCCTTAAATGAAATGTTTTGAATTTCTGCAATTTTTAAATAAAAAATTATGAACACTTAAAAATCATACATGTTTTTGTTATTAGAATAGTGAAAAACACCTTTTGCGTTATTGGTCTTGTATATTTATTTCACATTTTCCTCTGTTTACGAATAAAAGACAAGTTAATATTCAATTTTTGAAAACCCAGGGCACATAATAAACATTTCTTAGGAGATGCACAGTGCTTGCTGGTCCAAAGAACATGAATAGGATTCCATTCACATTCCTTGATTGATGTTTTAGACAGAATTTAGCTCATAGTTGATGACATAGTAGGTGACTATTCAAAAAAGGAGGAAATGAATTCTTATAAACGATGGGTGATTCAATCCTCTGTGAATGGAAATTCTTAAATCCCTGTTGTTTGTATTGTACCTGTTTTCAAATATCTCCTAACTTTTGCCTTCTGAATGAGGGGTTTTGCATTCTTTAGATCTTTCGCAAGATTTAGGATATTGCTTATGAGGGCTATTGGAAAATTTTCTTTGTGATCATGTACATCTTTGGGAAAAAGAATGCTTTACCATTATATGTTAGATAGGAGAGATAAGTGATAAACTCAGTAACCTCTTCAAACTTTTCTATGTGGAGGAAATTTCACAAACTCTTTGACTTAACTCTCTTTGTTTCTCCTTGTTCTATATTGGCAAACATTGTCTGTGCCCAAAATTCATCTCCTTATCTGTTGATGTAAACATTCTGAAGATAAGGTGAACACCATTCAAAACATTTGGAATTCACGAAGCCGAGTGTATGTCTGCCAGTCTATGCCTACAAGTCTATGTTTATCAAAATCTAAATAGTTCCACATAAAAAGGAGGGAAAATGGTCACCATTTTACAGAAGTTACAGTCTGCCTATATTGGGACAAATGCTTCAGACAATGGTCAGTTAATTTCCCAAAACTTTGGAAAAGTACTTTTTTGTTTCAAGTTAGTAATTGAATGAGTTCAAGAAATGGAACTATGTTTCTTCAGGAAAGAGTATCAAAGAACTGGAGTGTTTCAAAATTTGATACCGAGCTTATCCGTATCTCTGTGTGGAAAAATTGAGATTTTGTATATAATGCTTATGGAAACATTTTGTGTATGAGGGTTGCTTGTGTTTGATGATTTGAATATTTCCAAGCACATAAGGGACATTTTTGAAAAAGTTAGTGCACTGTGTAAAAATTTTTCATGCTGCTATCTAACACCATTTGATGCATTTCACTTTGTTTATAAGTGGTAAAATAGAAAAATGTAAATAACAGTACATCACAGCTGCATTACTTGCAGTAATGCATTAAAAATTCTCTGTGAAGCCAAAGAAAAAAATACTGAAATTTTTACTAATTTGGTTTTAACTTTTATAAATTTACTTTGTTGTCATTTAGAAGAAAGATTTCCTGAAAATGCAGTAGAGGAAAAGAGTGTTTGATCTGACAGCACTAAGTGCATGTAATTTAATTATAGCACAGATCTAGTTAAAAATTTATATGTAAAATACAGTAACACATTAACAGATAATACAGTTTTGCTAGAACAATGTGTTGACTTTAAATTTGCCATATATGAAAACTTAAGTGTAAATTTATAATAAATGTTTCAGGTATGGTAATCTTTTCCTTACAGTGTAAACAATTTTCAACATTAATTGGTGGACATTTTTGGCATCTAGTGTTGACTGTGAACAAGGTTTCATTTTAATGAATTTGATTAAAAAATAAACAAAGAAATAATGTGAAAGAAGATTACTTAGACATGTCAATGCAAGTAAAATCATATTGTGGTGGAAACCGTATAAATTTGGATCACGTAGATGTGAATTGTTAAATTTTAGACAGAAAAAAAATTTTTCTTATCATACTTATATAAAAGTAGCATTTTTTGGATAAATCGGAACATTATTACTATTTTAATTGTTGAGTCAAGCTATTTCTGAGTAAATAATTTTGTTATGTTTAATTTTTATAATTAATAAATAGTTAAATGCAACATGTCTAAAAAATGTAACAACAAACCTTTAAGGCCCGTCCACACGAGGACGCTCCCGACGTAGTTGACGTAACTTTTTTGATGCCGGCGTAAATTCGCATGACGCAGAAGACGTAAAACTGAGTACGCTCCTGTTCAGCTTTTTCGCCCGCGACGCGCGCGTATAGCCAATAGCCGACCGAGTTCTTATCACATGTCATAATCAGAAAACCTTCTTGCTTACCCGTTTCAATATGGCGTCAGAACCACACAGAGATGAGTTTTTGCTTAGAAACATCATAAGTGTATACAGCAATAAAATAATCACGCCATCTTCAGATTTCTCAAACCGTATATATTGGTATAAATTTAAAATTCTCATTAAAGGGAAAAACTGTATATTTATAAAGCAATGATCCGACCAGTATATGCTTCACCTATTTATAACACCATAAGTAATAGGAACATAAATAAATTACAGTTTCTACAAAATCAAAGTTTCTGCTTTACAAAATTATCCTTAATTATTATAAATATTGGCTATATCATGTGTAATAAGAAGCTCTATAAATATCCCAATATTAAATACACCAAAAACTAACTTCAGCAATATAACAACTTCTAAAAATTAAGCAGTTGACTGTGAAAGAGTATTCAATAAAATACAATTACGAAATTTTGGAGGAAAGTTACAACTTGTGTCATACAGCAATCATTTATTGAAATTTAATTAAATTACCTTTGCATCGACTTCTACTTGTTATATTATTTTTCACAAACACTGCTATCACAGATAGCTGAGTGGTCAGCGCTCTGCTTTGCGAATAGAAAGGTTGCGAGTTCGAACCTCACCCGTAGCCAGTACATAAATTCAGTTAGCTTTTCACATTTTGAAACGTGTTTCTTATATTTATTCATGAATCATTATATTCTTATTTTACCTATTATCATTGTTTTCATTTCTTATTTTATTCATTATTATTATTGTTTTTTAATTTAGTTTAAAAATGTGCATTGCAAATAGAAATCCTTATGTAATAATATATCTGCACCTCTTTATCATATATCATCTATAAATTCTCTTTATTTTTTCTTCATTGCATATTTTATCATGCACATAATTTCTCATAAACTGTACAAAGTTTGAACCTCATTCTAAATTCAAAAATAAATAAAAAGAAAAACAAAAGACCAAGGGAGGGAGAGTTAAAAAAATATGAAGTGGTTTTATTATATGGTGGATGGTCTTTATAAAGAGAATTAAGTAATTTAATTCTCTTTATATACTGTATTCCAAACAAATTTTATAAATCCTAATTTTCGTACAATATAGAATCTGCAAGTCTGTCAAACTGGTCGATACTCATCCTGAAGTAATTAAAAAACAAGTAATAAAAAGAAATAAATAAAATAAAATTAAGTCAATTCCTACTTAGTTCCACAAAGAAAAATTTAAAAAATACAAATAAATAAATAAATAAATAAATAAAAATAGAAACAGAATTTTTTAAAATTAAAAATTAAAAAAATTTTAATATGTGAAAAAGCTGTATTACCATCAAGTGTCATTCACTACAAGTTTAAAAAATTGTATTTGAACTTGAGTGGATGAATAAAAAGCATTTTATGTACTGAAAATTTGAACAAGATATAGGGAGAGTGTGAGATAATAGTAGGAATTTAATAATTCCGGATATTCATTTCGCAAACGAGGCAGTAAAAAAATCTAAAATCTCTTTGAACATGTCACTCTAAATAAATCTTTCGGACCCATGCTTGCCATTTTTTGCGGTTTTGCCTCTGCTTAATAATTGCACTTAATAGTAAAATTTCAGCTATTAAAAAAAATCATCTGATTCGGACAACTTGCAAACATACAGAAGCACGCGAAGTAATAAGATACAGCTCTGTTGACGCTATATTACAGCGTCACGTGATTGTTGCGCAAAATAATTCTATTGGTTGAATGCACTCTTCGCAAGCGTACTTGTTTGGACGCTTTTATGCTGGTAATGTAAAAGCACGTTCGTCAGCTACGTTTCGAGCGTACTCGTGTGGACGGGCCTTTAGGGAAGGTAGGGCACTTCATAAGGATTGAGAATTGCATAGCGACCCATGACCAGAAACATCACTGTACACCACTAGTTTGTGCTCTTCATGAGAGCGCTGGAGGGAAAAGTGAGGATTATCTCAATTGAGTGGTAGCCAATATCCAAACAGAATGCAAAAATATGCAAGCGTTGAGTTTGCAGACTTGTGCTTAGTGTATCAAATAACAGGGCAATGGATGAACCGTTGAATGAATTTATCAAGAATGCTTTCCAGACAGATCAAATATAGCACAATGTGTTTGCGGCTGCACATCTAAATTTGTGGGAGCATGGATCATTGAGAAGTAGGAGAACTAGTGAGGGGGCAAGCTGCGATTGACGTGTTTGGTCATTATGGAAGAAAGTGTGTTGGCTGCTTGGGGAGACAAATCCTAGTACTAGCATACATGCCTTTACCTTAACTGTTTGACTGCTAAGCAATTCTTGCAAGAACGCACGAAAACTGTGGGACATATTTTCACTTGATGTTGTCAAATAAAACACTCTCATTTAGACAAATATCAATCAATTTGAATAATTCTTTTCGTATTATAAAGCAACAAAGACACATTGAAACTCGCAGCATTCTTGCGCTGCTTCGTGGTTTTCGAGAGAAGTTAATGCAGCACTTTTAC